ACTACCTGATACCCTTCTTTCTTCGTTTTTGAAAGCCGTTCATCCTTGAGATGTGAAGCAGGAAAAAAAACACATTTCCTGCAGCTTCATAAACACTTTTCTTTACCCTATCCTACTCCCAGACACACACGCACAGATTTTCAGATGTCCGCAGATGGTGTCAGTGAACAGGAAGTGCTGTCATCCTGTCTCATTCAACACATTCCTCTCTATTAATGAGCACTGGCAGGACCAACGTGCCATCAGGACTGCAAAATCATTCAGAAATCTCATCAGACAGTCTGTTATATTAGCAGAAATCCCACCGAGCATTCTCTGTTACCAAATCTGAAACCTCACGACAGTCTAATTTCGTGTTTCACAACATCCACAATGCCTTTACACACAAAACAGCATTAATATTTATTTATTCATTTATTTTCTTTTCGGCTTCTCTGGGGGCCTCAAGATGAGTATCCCCAAGTGGAAATAGAGAATTAAGAGAATAGTAGCTGCTATATAAATGAGATGTTTATATAAACGAGATGCAGAAACCTGTGTGGACCACATTCATGTATCATACCGCTAAGTAATGCACAAAGTGTATGCTTTACTAAAAATCCTCTAGTTTTGAACTGCGGGAGTGTGTCTGAACCTTGGACATTATCAGGAAGGCTATTCCAGAGTTTAGGAGCCATAAATAAGAAGGCTCGACCTCCTTTACTCAACTTAGCTATTCTAGGTACTACCGGAAGCCCTGAGTTTTGAGATCTTAAAGAGCGAGTTGGATTATTGTGAGACAGGAGGTTGGTTAAATAAACAGGAGCTAGATTATTTTGAGCTTTATAGGTGAGAAGTAATATTTTAAATCAATATGAAACTTAACAGGCAGCCAGTGTAAGGAGGATAAAATTGGGGTGATATGATCATATTTTCTAGACCTGGTCAGAACTCTGGCAGCTGCATTTTGTACTAGCTGAAGTTTGTTAATAGAGGATGCTGGGCAGCCAGCAAACAGAGCATTACAGTAATCCAGCCTAGAAGTCATAAAAGCATGGACTAGCTTTTCTGCATCTGAGATGGATACAACCCAGGCTCATCGTGGAAACGTAGCCCCGCGGACGTTTCTGGAGACCGCGGAATACCTGGGAGGTACATATTTGTGCAGTTTTTGTTTCCGCGAATCTGCAAGAGGCCGCTGTGCCGCGCCTTTCGGAATCGTGCGCTGTTTGCGCCTGTGCTGTTCTCACACGAAAAGCCACCGGAGGCCGCTGTCGAGCGACCGTCTGTCCGGCTGACTGACTGTCTGACTGACCGCCCTCCTCCTCCTTCTCTAAACCCAAGCGTCGATTTACAAAAGCGGCATCACACCACCCCGTAGTGTTCGCTCAAAAAACAAACAAACGCGGCCATACGTTCCTCCGGCCACGTAAATCGCGGCCTCCAGAAACGTCAGCGGGACTACGTTTTCATAATGAGCTTGGGTTGGATGGATAGCATACTTCATAACTTTATTTCTCAGATGAAAGAAGTTGAAGAAGGCAGTTTTTGTGACAGGGTATATATGATTACCATAAGTTAAATTGTTGTCTAATAAGACACCCAGATCTTTTATAGTAGAGCTAACGCTAACTTTATATCCCTCTAATTGCAGGTCAAGTTGTGAGACCTGCTGTGTACAGGATTTAGGCCAAATAAGTAATAATTCTGTTTTGTCTGAGTTTAAGAGAAGAAAAGTGTTGGTCATCCAGTCTTTAGCAGCTCTAATACACTTAGTTAGCTTAGACAGTTCAGACATCTCATCAGGTCTAGTTGAAATATATAATTGAGTATCATCTGCATTGCAGTGAAAGCTGATCCCATGTCTTCTAATAATGTCTCCCAGGGGTAGCATGTATATTGTAAACAGCAAAGGGCCTAAAACTGATCCTTGAGGCACCCCATACTTTACTGGCCTGACTTGTGAAGGCTGTCCATTAATATTCACAAACTGCTAACGGTGAGCTAAGTATCACTTAAACCATTGTAGAGCCTGTCCCTGGACACATTTATGAGGATATTGTGGTTGATGGTGTCAAATGCGGCACTAAGATCGAGTAAAACTAATAGCGAGATGCACTCTTGGTCAGCAGCTAAGAGTAAATCGTTTGCTATTTTCACTAATGTAGTTTCTGTACTGTGATGAGCTCTGAAACCTGACTGGAACACTTGAAAAGCATTTCAAAGGAGCATAATTGGGCAGAAACAACTTTTTCTATATGCTTATTAAGTATCTCCGAGCTCAGGGTTCTCTCCTGGGACAGCATGCCAAACCTGATATGAACGCTAAGCATATCTAAATGGTAACTCTTGGATAGCAGTTTGACATTGCAGATCCTATTGCGCACATATTGCAATATCAACGCTGACACCATCTATTGTGTAGGATTTTACTTGTAGTTATTTTGTTACCGAGCTCATGTCTTGTACCAGTACAGTTCGTGCCAGTTAAAAAAAAGAAAAGGAATGGTGTTACACAACAGGCCGGTCTGTCCTCTAACACCTTTCAGCGAGGGTTTGGCGGTGCGGAAGCGAACAGCCCTATGGAACGATGTGATTTTAGCTGTACAAAGGAGCCGTCTCATCAATCTCTGAGCTCTGATCTTTTGTCCAGCTCGGTTCCTCTCATACGTGCTCATTTCAGAAGCAGCGCCTGTGAAGCTGTGCACATGAAAGAGCCACCAAAGGACAGACTGGAGATCAGTGAGCTGTGGGATGCACGAGTTACATAAGCACTGGTTTGTGTTCGTTAGCCGGTCCCACAGTCTCTGTAACTTTGATGATGCGGGCGACTAAATTTCTGTCTGATGCAATCGTGCACAATGGGACGCCGATTTACTCAGGGTAGGGCTGTGCAATATCATGATATACAACTGAAGTCACATTTATTAGCCCTGCTGTGAGTTTTCTCTCAAATAATTCCTAAATGATGTTTGACAGAGCAAGGAAATTTTCACAGTATTTCCTATAATATTTTTTCCTCTAGAGAAACTCTTAGTTGTTTTATTTTGGCTAGAATAAAAGCAGTTTTTTAATTTTTTAAAAGCCATTTTAAGGTCAATATTATTAGCCCCCTTCAGCAGTATTTTTTTTATTGATTGTCTACAGATCAAACCATCGTTAACCAATGATTTGCCTAATTACCCAAACTTGCATAATTAACCTATTTAAGCCTTTAAATGTCACTTTAAGCTGAATATTAGTATCTTGAAAAATGTTATGTGCTGTCATCATGGTAAATATAAAATAAATCAGTAATTAGAAATGAGTTATTAAAACTATTGTTTAAAAATGTTAAAAAAACAAAAACATCTTTCCGTTAAACAAAAAATGGAAAAATAAAAATACAGGGGGCTAATAATTTTGACGTTAACTGTATATCGTATGGACAAAAAAAGTCTGTAGTTTCATATATGTCCTATAATTTATTTTCATGTTATCACAAAATACACTAATTTACAGTAGTTTACGGTAGTACTTATTTAATAGTATTTTAATGAGCGCAATATTATATATGTCATTACAGGGATGCAGATAGAAGCTTGAATAAATGCAGAGTCAGAAGGTTGCGATCTACACTTTGCTTTTATTTTAGCTTGATATTTTTATGTAGTATCTGTAATCGTTAATTTTTATATTTTCTCATTGTTTACATTTCCCCTGAAGTTCTAAATAAAGTGAAATGTATGAGCACATAAGTGAGTAAAGTTCTGAGTACAGTGTACTCTCGTTATAATGCGGTTCACCTTTCGCGATCTCGCAGTTTGCGTATTTTGTTTTGTCCAATTTTACAATGCATTGTGTTCTGCGTCCTTATTGGCTTTAGACCATTGTCAATCAATCTTATCCATGCCGTGTCTTGGTCAGTTAAAAGATTCAAAGGTATGTTATTCCCAGATAACAACAGCTAAATAACGCAGGCTCATCCGGGAACCTCGAATCAACTTGACCATGAATGAATTTGTTCAAATCTATATACTTACATCCAGTGCTTAATTTGTGAATTGCGATGTCCCGGAACAAATCAGGGTAACGAATCCAGTGTGCTACCCAAGGATATAGAGGTGTCACAGACGTAAGTTAAGAGCCAGGGCGGGGGGTTGGTTGTTGCAGACGAAAGTGAAGAGGGTCGGAGAGTCGCGGAACAAAGTGAAAGTGAACAGCTGTCGAGGAAGGAGGGGGATCGGTAAAATGAGGTTCCAGATCCGGCATGTTGCGGCACAAATTAAGCCCTGCTTACATCCACATTCATTTGTATCTGCTTGTCTGTAACGTTGTGGTTTTTATGTTATTGACTATTTGGCGCCATCTTGTAAATTAATAATACATAGGTTAGTCTACACTCTGTTTTGCTGGTTTTGTTTCTGTCATCTATACATTTTTGACTGTTTGGCGCCATCTTGTGACTGAATAATGCGCAAGTTAGTGTATACTCCATCAGCTGTTTTTATGTCTGTCAGCTTTGCCTTTAATTAAAGAATTAATAAACTATTATGGCTCACAACGTTTTTGTCTAATGTTTATGTTTTTGTGGCAAGTAGCCATGTAATAAGCAAAATAAAGTGCATCCAGGCAAGTTTTTTGCAGAATAAAGCCCTTCAGTCTGTTTTTTTAGATTTATTTTTGGCCTTTTTGCCTTTATTAGATAGGACAGTATTGAGACAGGAAGCAAAGTGGGAGAGAGAGAGAGGGGGTAGGGTAGGGAAATGTCGTCGAGCCGGGATTCGAACTCGCGACGCCCTGACGTGATATTGCACCATATGTCGGCGCGCTAAGCTTTTCAGTCTTATACAACAGTGCTCCGCTTTGCATCAGGCTGCCAATAAGCCCGTCAAACTTTATTCTGTGATAACAACCTCCTGCATGTACTTTATTCTTAATATATAAAATTATCAGGACATGAGATGACTTGTATCATGAAATGATATTTGTATATAATGTATTTCATTACCAACCTGTTTTTCTTTTCCTTGTATTTTCAGATTTGTTACTCATCTCCATTGTTGTGTCTCTCTGGAACGATGAGCTCCTCGCCGCTCGTGTCCCGTTCCTCCAATGACATCCTGGAGGAGCTGCAGCTCATCACCGCCAAAAACCTGGAGAAGCTGGACTTCAATAAGTACTATGAGGTCATCCGGGAGCTCGGCAAAGGCACCTACGGCAAAGTGGACCTCGTCGTCCACAAGATCAGAGGTGGGTTAAGGAGAGTCATATTTGTGCAACAATTCTGTGTGCAAAAGATGCACAAATGACTTGTTGTGTGTGAATTGACCATGTTGTGTCGAAAAGATCACGTTTTGAGTCCACAGGGGTTAATTTAATGTTTAGGTCGTGGCCAGAATGCACAGACTTTCGCCCCATGGACTTCTATTAATACGTATGCAAATGCAGCAGGCTGGAAATGCAAGTTTCCGCAAACTGAGATTGTTATTCGCTCATTGTTTAATATCAACTGATGTCTAAGACTGGAAACAGATCTCATTTGTGGCTTTTCCTTCCTGTGGGAAACGTTCCCGATCAAACTGACAAAGAATGTTTGCACACAAAATAAAAACCACCTACATTTACAAACACACACAAGCACACATCTCTCTCTCTATCCTGTGAAATCATGCATTATTTATCAGTCATCTGTCATATTTCATGATCCTGTAGATCAAACGAATACCGCAGTTCACAGCCATTACGTGCCCTTTCACACTAGAGCTGGTGACGTGAATGCAAGGCCAATATGACACCAAAGTTTAATTTGTTTGACCACAGCAAAAATGGTTTTCTGAGAAAGTGCTGCAGCCTACAGTTCTCATGCATTTATATTCAGAATGCCACTATATGATTCAGCAAATGCCGTTCTTTATTTAGCATTTATAGTGGCTTCAAAAGGATAAACAGAGGGTTTTCAAACATCAGAAAAATTTAAAGGAGTAATGCAGCTTTACTTGATAACACCTTTTTTGTACATAAGTATGTGCACTGTTTATTTTTTAACCATAAGGGCTCTATTTTAATGATCTATGCACAAAGTCTAAAGCGCATGGCGCAAATGCATTAAGGGCGTGTTAGAATCCACTTTGCTATTTTAAGGACAGAAACATACAGTCTGCGCCGTGGCGCATGGTCTAACAGGGTTGGCTATTCTCTTAATGAGCTATA